CATGGGGAGTCTATGGGACTGACTCCCTTTTGAAGCCAGCCTCTAGCGGACAGTCGATGAATTGCAGTTTTAGTCACTTCCATGTTGGTTTCACGAGAGAGACCGGAAGTTTGCCGTTTGATTTTACTGCTCCAAAAGCGGCACCTAGTGGCAAAGAATGAATTAGCATTTTCATTCAGACCAATGCGAAAATCGACTGATGGTTTTACGCAGCAAACAGGCAGAGCCATAAATGTGAACCGGTATATATATACCACGGGGGAAGCCCGGCCACACATAGAGTGTAAGTCTGTGGAAAACACTAAAATGACAGGGACACAACACAAGGTTCGGGCCATACTGCTGTGGTATTGCTGTAAAAATGAACTTTAACCATTGATTCTTCACAGCCTCCTCCTTTGGCAGTAAAAAAAAAAAACAAACAGATTTACCCTCATAGTGCAGAGCACAGCATCTTCTCGACATGATACTATCAACAGGAATCCGCTATGGTGTTTGGGGGGCGGGGGGGTTCAAGTTTTCCCGGGTCTGCGCACGCAACAAGTGGGCGGGCAATATGCTAATGTTTCATGTTGACATCAATATGAAACAGCTTGGGATTCGTTTTAAAAATGGCTCGTTTAAATGATTCAGAGTCGACTCTTTCTTTTGTAAGACAATAACTTTATATACGGTTACACGATTATACAGTTATACGGTTATAGAGCTGTGTTACACACTACATGAAAGGTAATTTTCAAAAATAATAGGGGAACTTTAAAGAATAAATAGTGTTGGTAGTAGGGCTGTCGCGGTGAGGGAATTTCCCTTGCGGTAATTTTGAGTGGCTCAATAGCGCGGTATGCGGTATTATCGCCATATATTAGGGCTGTGTATCACCAGCAAAGTCACGATACGGTACGTATCACGGTACAGAGGACACGATACGTATCACGATACAGGACTGCACTGAATTTCACCTCAGCAGAATTTAGAAAAACAGCTGTTTATTAAACACTACTTACTATAGTGCCATTTCTAACTATTGGCAGAGCAGGCAGTTGACCTCTGCATTACGAAGGGCCTCCATAACTGTACCACAGTACAATATAGGTAATGGCATATGTTTCATGTTTACATTGTGCACTCCCAACCAGGTACAATATTCAGATTGTTTGCATCTTGCTTTTAAGCCCATAAATAATAATGTACTCGTTCTAATAAATTTATATTGTAATGTATTCATTCTAATATATAAAAAAAATCTCTTACATTGCTGGTAGGTTATCATTGCACAAATTAACACACTCTCTACGATTAAAAAAAAAAATAGAAGATTTCTAAACTAACGCGCTGTCTTCACTGTATCTAACGCACACAAGGCTGATTTACTCGACGCGTCCGCTAGTTCGCTTGGGTGCACGTGGCAGGACTTTCTGCTCAGCTCCGCTTCCGAAGATGCACGAGTTCAAAGCGACTCTAGCCGAACATGCACGTCTGTGCCAGCATTTGTGTGAAACAGAAGCAGTTAGATGTTAAATATATATATATATATATATATACATATATATATAATTTGTGTGTGTATGTGTTACGATATAACAAACGAGGTCATATTCAAAAGACAATGAACCCGAAACCAAATAGCGTTAAAACAGGAAGTAAAGTAAACAGAAGAGAATGACAAAATAACGGTCCACATAACGGAACATAAACCTGACAATAAGATCGTTAGGCTCTATTTCCACCTGTGCACGTTCTAGACGGGCTGTCAGTAAGTGCAGTTACAGTGTTGCGCCACAAGGTGGTGGAAAGGGACTGTCATTCAACTACACGTTCAAAAACACTGATTAATTCATTCAAAGAGATGTAATGAAAATCGCGGTTGCTGCGGTTTGCTCGTCAATAGCGTATTGCGATATTGCGGTTATCGCGACAGCCCTAGTTGGTAGAATAGATTTATTTGTTTTTAATACACAGTTTACCAAAAAGTGTCCCAATTTTGCTGACTTGTTTACTTGAAGTAATCATATGGTTTTATTGAACAAAACTGTTCAAGTGTTTTACTCACCCTCAAGCCATCCTAGGTGTATATGACTTTCTTCTTTCAGACGAATCCAATCGGAGTTGTATTAAAAATTCACTGGCACTTCTAAACTGTATCATTGTAGTGGGCGGGTGTTTCTCTTTAACAGTCCAAAACACGTTATATAAAGCGCGCGCATATCCGTAATAAAACATGCCTCACACGGCTCCGGGGTATGAATAAAGGCCTCCTGTAGCAAATCCATGCGTTTTTGTTAGAAAATTATCCATATTTCAAACGTAATAAACACTTTTCTCTCACTTCTGCTGACTGTCGTATGCGGAAGCATTCCGGCGGATGATGTATGCATCACGCAAGAGTCTCTGAGATATGCTAGTCTCAACAAGTTTAAGGAAGCAAAGTTTTCTTACTTTAGCAAAGGAAAACCAGTCTCCTCATGGCTTATATCGAAATCCTCCGACATTTTTCTTTACAAATCCTCGTTTTGTGCTTCTAATTCATGACCAGCGCTCCGCATTCTTCACTAATCACGCAACGCCGACGTCCTACGTCATCTGCCGGAACTGCTTCCGTGTATGACAGATAGCGGAAGTGATAGAAAAGTGTTTACTACGTTTGAAATATGGATATTGTTCTGACAAAAAACGCATGGATTCGCTACAGGATTCGCCTTCATTCACCCCCACGGAGCCGTGTGAGGCACGTTTTATTACGGGTGCGTCCGCTTTATTTAAAGGGGTCATATGATGCGATTTCAAGTTTTCCTTTCTCTTTGGAGTGTTACAAGCTGTTCGTGAATAGATAAGATCCCTAAAGTTGCAAAGACTAAAGTCTCAAACCCAAAGAGATATTCTTTATAAAAGTTAAGACTCGTCCACGCCCTCCTAAAACGTCTCATTTAAACACGCCCCCAACATGTCTACGTCACTGTGTGGGAAGATTTGCAGAACACCGCCCAAATTTATACGCAAAGAAAGAAGGCGTAACTTTGATTCTTGCTGTAGTATTGTTACTGCCGCTGCCGCCATGTCGTGGAGACGCTGTGTTTCATTGTGAAAGCGAAACTACTTTGTTTGGTCTTCCAAAAGAGGACACAACTAGAAATCAGTGGTTAAGTTGTATTTACAACACTGTCCCAGAACAGTTCAAACCAAATATTCAGATGTGTGCAACGCATTTTACGGAGGACGAGGACTGTTTCCTGGGAGAGTAGCCTACAATGCTGGTGAATTCAGTTCCCGTTTCTCCTTCAGTGTGCATGCTGACCCTATACAGTCTATGACAGGGGTTTTCAACCTGTGGGACACCTGTCAAACTTCACTCATTGTTTACACAGTGCACATTCATTGTAGGTATGACGGCTAATCAAAATGGTACTTACTTGCGCTTATCCGGATTGTTCAAACCGACTTAAAACTAAAAAGATTATGTTCTCTCACGGGAGTGGTGACTTTCCACGTATTCCCAACTTCTGAGCCTGCTCGGCTGAAGTTATGGTTGATTGCTCTTCGGCTGGATATCAACACACCCATAAATGTAAACTACGCCAGAGCGCGTACACACCTCACGCACCGGATCCCATGCGCGCGCTCAAGGCAGTTGGACATAGTGGTGTATTAGAGGTAAAAAATGATATAAATACTGTTCGGTTTCTCGCACAAACCGATCGTTTCGTGTCTTAGGACATCAATGTGTCGTCACGAGCCGCAGGGTTTAATTTGGATTTGTCTGTGCATGTTTTTTTTACTCTCATAGATTTTGTTACCATTGCCATGCATTATACGACTGATAGACTGCAACGGTTGGAGTTCAAAATCATAATTAGTGTTCTACTGAAGAAACAAAGTCACCTACAGCTTGGATGCCCTGGGGGTAAGCAGATAAACATCAAATTTTAATTTTTGGGTGAACTATCCCTTTAAACTGTTTTGAAAGCGCAATATGTATTCTCCTGAGTTTGCTCAGGTTTATAAATTAATTGCTTTACAAATCTGATGAAATGGCGCACGTTGTGCTTCCAGATGAACGTTATAATAAACCCAAACTCACAACAATATGCAGAGATGGAGTTTGATACGCTCCACACATGTAAATGAACCCGCTATGAACTAAACTCGCTAGTTCAAACTTCAGAAGTTTGCGTTCTGCAAGTGAACGACGCCTTGTGGTGCCATCCCAAAGAGGTGCCAAATCACTCTCACGGACCTTTTCCTGGACTGTGCCCAGTTGGTGGAACGTCCTGCCTATTTCAATTCGAACAGCTGAGTCTTTAGCCATTTTCAAAAAACATCTAAAAGACACATCTTTTTCGCCAGCACCTGACCAACTAATACTAGCACTTACCTATTCTATTCCATTCTATTTATAAAAAAAAACAAACAAAAAAAAACCTAGCTACGTGTACTGTGCTAGACTAACTGAGACTTGTCTTAGCACTTGTATACTGTTGTTCTCTCGTTGGTCTGATTGCTTCTATTGTTCTCCTCATTTGTAAGTCGCTTTGGATAAAAACATCTGCTAAATGATTAAATGTAAATGTAATGTAAATGATAGTTTGTGTGGAGCAGCATTAACTGTGAACGGAGCCACTCTGACAAGTACGCATGTAACCTACACGCATGTAAATAATTAAAGCGCATATATTAAACCTGCATTGCATATATTTATTTAATTGAATCACAGCGTTTGTGAATTCACAATAACAGTATGCTTAATTATGATTTTTAAATGGGTTAATATATCACACAGCCTTGGAAAACAGTCTAATAATGCTTTTCATAGATTCTCCTCCGTGGAATGCGCGGTCCGTGGAATCTCACTTCCGGTATACTGCTGGTTAGTCGACGCGGGCAAAATGAAATCGGGGATTTAAAAAAAAAATTGAATACTCAAATAGAATCGACGAATCACGACAGCCCTAATCATAGTGGGATCCCTGTGTATAGAAAATACTTTTACCAACAGCTGTACTAACCTCATTTTACCCCGTCTGTCTTTAGCTAGTAGTTGTTCCAGCTCAGCCTGAATGTGATTCAACTTCTCCACACGAGCATGAGTGTCAGCTGACTTCGTCTGACTTATGCTGGACAGAGAGGAGGGGTTGGGTCATAATGAAACAGCTGGAAATGGTACAAGGATAATGTTACGTAACGTTGTTTCCTTTCTGTACACTTTTGAAGTACCTGTGTTTGAGTTCTTGGATCTGCTTGTTAAGCTGATCTTTATCCTTTTCAAGGTCTCTCAAGTTAGTCTTTTTACGATGAAGACTAGCCTAAAACAAGAAAAAATGAAAAACAAAAAGCACTGAGAATTGAGCATATAAAGGGTCAGTTTTACTGGCCAAATTAGCGCGAGCGTGCAATTCCAAAACAGCGCCGATGGGAGGGGAAATTTCTGCGGGTGATTTACTAACAACGCGCAAATGAAAGAACACAGATGCAACATCTTATTTATATATCGACCAACGCAATATACCAAGCGCAGCACAAATTAGCGTAGTCGCAACGTTGAAAAGATCTGTAGGTCA